AGTTTTCAGATATTAACGTGGAACCTTTCTATATGGGTTAGCCTTGCAGAACATCGTATTTTACTTCATCGTCATGGGCTCTCCTCTCATCCAATTTTTATAAATAAGCATCTGAAAGTTCCTTGCAGAAAGGCATCATGAGTTTCATTTAGGATAATAAGGAATGAAAACACAAGTTAAAATGTAAATTACTGGGTCAGCCCATAGCTTAGTGGTTAAGGAAGCTGGATCCCACATTAGTGGTATGGTTTAAATCCCAGCCCAAGTGGCTTGCAAAGCATGTTAGGTGAGTGTGTGTGGGTGCACAGAATCCCATTGGGACCAAGAAATGGAGAAGAGATTGCAGCCTCACTTTAGCTTAGCGGGGGATACTTCTCTCTCTTAATTTCTGCCTCTGTTTTCCCATGGTGAGTGCCTATACTTTCTCACAATAAATAGAAAGAAAGGAAAGAGGGAGGAGTATTCTCAATAAAGTAAAATTAAGTTTAATAAAGAATATTCTAAATAAAAAACGAGTCTTGAGTTGACACTAGCCAAACAAAAAATGAAAATATTTTATAAAACCATGGAAAGTAAAACAAGGCACTGGTGAAGAAAGGAGAAATATAGATATAATACACAGACTAATTAACTCTAAAATTGATTTAGTTCCATGTAAGAAATTGCTGGAAAATAAAACTGACATCCCCAGACAGAAATAAGTATTCATAAACTTATGTAAGAATAACTAGGGAGAAATTTAAGGGAAATAAAATTCATCTAGACTGTCTTTCATGGTACATAACAAAATGAAATTCCAAATCTATGAATAAGTTAAAAAATTTGAAACATACTTTTTAGATGCTCAAACAGAGTAACAGATCTGTACATTTTAAAATTTTTATCAAGGATGGCATTCTAAGTAAAATCCTTTAACAATATCATAAAGTAAAAATCTAAGTGGTCAGTTTACATAAATTTTAAAATCCTATTTGTTAAAAACATAGCATGAGTTAGGCAAGTTGGTCATGCTGTGGTTAAGGCAACTGGATCCTATCTGGATGAACGCCCAGTTTGAGTACTGGTGGACACGGCAGCTTATACACCCACCAGGTAAGTGTGCATGCCCAAAATCCTGACTGGGGACAGGGGAGAAAGGAAGGGATTGCAGCATGACCATCCCCCATGAAAGGTGCTTTCTCATTTTTCATCTATGTCTGGCAAGTGCTTGCACTCTGGCAAAATTGAAAAAAATACATATACATAGATATACTATATATACATAGATATACTACACACACACACACACACACACACACACACACACACAGAAGAATTAAGGGAAAAAAGAAGGTTTGCCTAGTGCCTTAGGCCTGTAATCCCTGCTACTTGGGACGTAAGGCAGGAGGACATGAAGTTGAGGCCAGCAGGGAAACATCCTCAGACCCTGTCTCAGAAATACGGAGAAAACCTGAACAAAAATTAAAGAACAGATCAGAAAAATTACATTGAGAAAATACGGCCAAAGAGAGCATCTCCACAACATGCACCATTTTATTACAATAGCAAGACAGAGCATATACACATTTATCTTTTGTTAAAAGTCTTGTCTGTGACATTCAATTCCATATAGTTAATCTATTTTTTTTTTTGGAGAGGTTTTTGCTATAGGGCGCGTGCGCTCGCCAGACAGAGAGAGAGACAGAGAGACAGAAAGCGAGGAAAC